CACTTCTGACGGGCGGACCACCGGTTATTGGCACAGAGGTCTGCGTCTACGGTGAACGCTTAAGCGCTTTTGACATGCAGGACCTCAGAACCTCAACTCTCCCGCCTAGGATTTTGAAAACTGATTGGTACCGTCTGAGCACCTGACTACCTCCTGACCTGCAGCCCTGCTTTAGTGTAGAGGAACAGCTGCCTCCAACCAGCCTACTCCTTTGGCGCACTTCCGTCTCTACCCCTCCCATACTTAAATATGATCCTTTTCCGCAAAGCCCTTCTGTTTCAGTTATATTTGACAGAAATGACATACATCTAAACGGTAAGCGGTTTCGTTGAAAAGGACGTCGGTTCTCAAGCTAATCGAAAGCACCACTGTTGAACAACGTGTACTTTTATTCATGACGGCTCCGGTTGAATTCGGGAGGGTTATTCTCACACTTTGAACTTCGTTCGTAAGGCATCTTAAGACATAGCAAGCATCTGCTCGATCACTCACAAATACAGCCTTTAATCAGCTGTTCAAACGCCGCTTGCGTACCACAGGAACAAAGCATTTTCGGATAGAGAGAAAGAGAGACCTACAGCATGCTATGTTACAACTGCAATCAATCAGTCAACCGAAACTTGCCTCGTCATCTGCGCTGTCATATGCAAATCAAAGGGTGATAAAGCCAACATCTTCTCACTTTTTGGCTTGCTTGTCGGTTAGCGCTTGAGTGGCAAAAAGACCTCACGCACACTTGGAGTCGATCTCAAAACTTTCTATTCCTCGGTCACTTTTTGACCTATTACGGTAAATCGCGTATAATACAATTATTTACTTATTTTACCATCTAAAGAGAGCGAACACGAGGGAAAAAGACTAGAAGAGGGAACCAGAAGGAGCGAACGAACTACTTTAACCGTCCTCGCAGGAGGTAGGTAAAATAGGATGCACGATTGCGTCCTTATTACTGATATATTCGTGACTGGTGTGTTTTCGCCCAGCCTACAAAAGGCCATAACTAAAGGCAGAATCTATAAAAAAACGTCATGAAAAAAAATGGTTCCGCCAGTAACATTATTAGCATCGTCTTCATCATTCGCGGCTTCCCGGGGTCCAATTTCACTAATATCGTCTTTCTCATGTCCATCATTGCATAGTACCTCCCGCCTTCCATTCCGACGCTCTAGCCTTAGTCGCCCACCCCCCCCCTCATCCTCTTCCGTCCTCGTCGCCGCTGTCGTTTCCTCCCAAATGAAGAGACATTCGTGTGCAGCTGGGATATAAGTGATGGAGACAAAGGCAATACTTCCTAGGAGACTGAGTCCCCTCCATCACCGGCGATAATGCTGCCGCTGCTTCTGTGGGTGCACAGAAGATGGAACAGGCAGCAGCATCAAGGACTACAACAGCAAGAGTGAGGCGTCAACAATGCAGGCTAGTTCGATGCGCCCGCATGCATCATGTTAGAGTGAACTAAAGGGTTCTAGGACGGGATGTGGATTTGGCTGGATGGGAAAAAGAGGGTGGAAGGGGAGGAGGGGGAGGAAGAAGGCGAAGGAGAAGAAGAACAAGACGCGGCGCCGCACGGACAAAAATAACGTGACACACAAGCACACGCAAACTAGTGAGAGTAGGAGGAAGTGGGCAGACAATGGCAACGACGACGGCCAGGTCGCGCAAGCACATGGAGGACATGCGCAGCCGGGCCTTTGTTATGCACCGCCTGTTGTCACACCCACACACACCCATGCCCCGTCCTCCGAGTCCAATTAGTGAAACCGTCACGCAACGCCGGTGATGAATTTAAGGGCGTCGACGGGCCGCCATAGCCCCTTGCCGCCAATGTCCGTGTACAAAGCTGAGAAGACGCCGTCTTCCCCCGCATCCGCAACAAGCATACGCGTCGCCAGAGGCAACCTGAAGTGATGGAAGCGGAGGTCAGAGAGCAAGAGGAAAAAGGCAACACGTTTGTCTGTGTATGTGTGTGTGTGTGTTTTGAGGGCGCGCGCGCGTCCAAGACGCACTCCTCCTGTGCACTTTTGCTCTTCCTTTGTGAAGTACATGCACACGTACACACAAACACACATGACATAACGCTCCGCTGACATGAGCACGCGTGCGTGAGCACTTCCAAAGAAAGGAAGCTAAGTAGGTCAGGAAAGAGGATGTAGAAGGTGGTGGGGGTAAGGAGGGAACGGGGGTGGCAACACCCTGCGCGGAAGTGGACGTCTGTTCTCCCAGCAACCACAGCGGCGTTCGGTGGTTTGCCGACGTCCTAAATAAGTGGTGAATGCAACGCGTGCGCAGTGACTCACAAGGCATCCGTTGTGTCTTTCCTCCTATCCCCCCCTCCCCCGATCATTTTAGCGCGGACGCGTATTCAGTCAAAGTAACGGTTTGTCGGGACATCCAACTAGATTAATGTATTTCAGTACATAACAGTAGAAACCTCGCTTAGAGGGAACGGGACCGGGGAATCGATATCAGCCGTTTGGAAAGGTCTTTGATTCTTCCTGGTCCTGTCTCAAACTCATTAAATTGTGCTTAGCGTGAGACTACCGGGGTCATTATGTTCGGCTGGAGAGAAGACGTACGGTTGTTAAAATGCTATAATCAGACAATACAGTATATTCCGATGTTGCTGTCTACATCCAAACAATACGTTTTTGATCAACAAGGCAGTCTGCTTGTTTCTCCGTAGAGAATTATTATCCCTCAACAATTGAGTCCTTCCGCCTCACGTTGGCCTTTTTAGAATGCTCCCTTAAGCCTTTCGACCAAAGCTCATCCCCCTCGAAATTCGCCCTGACGTCTCACTCCCATATGTGATTGTAAACTCTGGCGCATCGATTTTGGTAACAAATGGGAGATGACACCCAGAAAAATCCTTAACCTCCGACACCTGGCACTAAATAATGCTCAAAGGTTGATTCACCACTTGATCCGGTAAAGCAATTTTGTCAGCTGATGTTAAATTGCTCCTTGACATTTTGGTTGCATGTTAGCGAGTGGCGCGTGTGCGCGACCAGACCGACAGACGTTAGCTGGGCCTAATGGGCCGACACCTACCTAGTTGGTAAGACTCAAAACTGATTCCTTCGTCCCTTTAACCGCCCGCCACCGTAAAATCCCCCCCCCCCGCTTTAGCTGCTTTATGTCTCCGGGCTGTTCTGCCCAATTACGCGTCGCCACCAGCGTCAGCTTCTCGCTAGCGTGCTTCCTAATTCTTGTGAACTGCTGCTCAGGTTTCAGGTCGGTGCTAACCAGTCCCCTTAATTTCCGACAAGCAGACCACCAACTCACCTGTGTGAAAAACGGGCCTTGTCTTTTTACTTTCTGACTTGGGACAATTACCAACAGCGTCTAGGCGAACTGTGGTCCTATTAAGCTACCACCCAATTAACCGAAATCCACTGTCGTATTTGCCCTGAAATCTTTCGTTCGAACAAGCTACCATGCCAGAACCGGAATTAGCGTCGATATCTCCAGCTTTTAACTCGTCTGAATTATTTGAGAAATCGCGGTAGGTTTCCTCCTGATATCTTCGAGCATAGAGTTGGGTGAATTATGTCGACCTGGGGTTTTTTAGCGGTACTCAAGGTTCGGCTTTGAGTTAATGAGAAATACAGCAAGATAAAGTCCTTTCAGCGTTTACCATGTGACCGGAACTGTTCTAACGACTTTAATCAATGGATCCATGTAAACTAGTTGTTTGTAACTTTGGGAGTTTTCTAGACTTCGACAGAATTGTTTGAGACCTGTGCATGTATAAGCATAAAAAATGGGCTGCAAGCGAAGGTGGCTGCGATTTGGTATAACTAGATGCTAGCCCATCCAGGTCCCCTTATTAGCAAAATTAAAAATTTACCTATCGTCTGTTCAAGACTTCACATGCTATAAAAACTCCGGATGAATAGGTGAACGTCACTCCTGATTGCCATCGACAGGACGCGGGCCCGTAGCTCAGCTGGTAGTGTTTGACACACAAGTTACGGTGCTTATCTGGGCTTGGGGTATGACTGGCCAGTGACAAAGAGTAGGCCAGCGAGGATGGTAATGGCCGCGCCCATCTTTGATGACCGTACACATGGATTGTTGCTTATTATTTACTACGTTATTACCAGTGAGGCCTTAGAACCAGGACTCCTAGGAACCAGGATAAATCACTGCATGTCACTCAGTCATCTCCCAGAAATCCCTTATGAGCAATATGTGGGTGCAGTTGATTCAGAAACTGCTTGAATCACTGAAGGAATATGCGAGCATTTGACAAGGCTCTGCTGTTCTTGGACAAATACGGCCCTAGAAGTAGTTCACGTGTACCTGGGTTAATCCCAACATTCTGATAATATGTCTGATATCTGAGTTGCCTCCGTAATCGGCCAGCAAAATAAAATTCCGGTTGCGTGACCTTCCTAACCAGCATTAAAACGGTATCTTAAGTTCATTTTTACAGCAGCAACAGTGCATAGCCTTGTTTAAATTTAGCCTTCATGTAGAGATCATCCCAGTGAGCATGTGACTAGCTATTTAAAATGTTCTAAGTTGTGCCGTTAAACACGCTTAGTTTTGTGACCTGTTCAAAAGGTTTACTGTACCTCGGGAGTTGTGGTGTCAAGAGGTACCGAGGTTGCGTGTTCTCTAATAGTCTGGTATAATTTTTGAACTCTCGAACACTCCGACAACCAACCGTTTTCATGCTCTAACCCAATATTATCAGCTTAATCGCTTCGAGACCTAACAAATTGTTTCTAATAATTCCTTCACAAGTTTGTGCCGAAATCTGGGCATTATACTCCAGGGTACTATATATCCGACGTGTGTTCCGATACTGGCATCAGGCATGTACCGAACTTTCGGGCGTACAGAATAGGGATATAAGGATAAGTCCGGTTTGGTATTTCGTCTTGGTGTATTTCATATGCTGTTAGTTGTTATGAGTGTACTGTGAATTGCAGGTTTCGCCATTAATGAACCTTAACCTCTTGGGGAATCCTAACCCACCCAGGAGAGTGTAAATAACTAAAACGACCGACAGACAATCGTAATTGATACTACTGTAACACTGTCGATTAATACCTTTACGGGTTGAAAGACCCACAAACGGGCAGGGGTGTGAAGAGGGGTGGCTTGTGCTCCACTACCTCTATCTCGGCACAACACTATCGTTCACCTGCCGATTCTCACTATCCTGAAAACTTCAGTCGTCTAGTGAGCTGAGTGAGTTGTTTGAGTTGTTTGGAACGAGAGTTGTGTAGACTTCTTCAGAAAAGCCCCAGCAGCGGGATTTGCGGTTTCCGCGTTAACGGTTCCAACCGCAGCAGAGGCATTTTCTAGTGGACCCAAAACTCAAACAGTATGCATGCTCTCGATGTGAATCTCCATCCCTGAGATCCTGGCATGTGCATTTTTCACTATAAAACCCTCAAACTGGACATATGTATATTGGAAATAATTAAGATTCTTTGAGAACAAAATAACTTTTATTGCGTAAATTTTCGAGACTGGTTCTCAGCTCGTCATCAGACTTCTGAGTTATAGACAATAACAGTTAACTATTTAACCGTATCGAACAAGTGATTCTGTGGTTGGCTGAAGCCCGCTCCAATGTACATAACCCAAAAGTCTTACGACGAATTGGGGAACCAGTCTCGAAAATTTACGCAACAAAGGTTATTTTTTCCCAAAGAATCATACCTATTTCTAATTAAATTTCTTGGGATGCCTGTTTTCCAATACGCATGTATATGTACCACGAATATGGTAGAGGACAGAGTTGTTTATAATAAGCATTTTACAAATGGCGCAGAGCTCTGCTTTAGGCAAAAGCTGATAATTTGGCCATCTAGTAGACCCCTAGTGAGCTGTCAAGGCTAATGACAGCATCACAGATTTGTAAGATGACGCTGACTTAAATAACTTATTTACAATTTCGTCGCATCACCCCCACGGCTGTATTGGCTGCACTGAAAATCCCTGAAACGCTTTATCTTGTAGAAGAACGTCCAAAAATTTGAGAAACTCGTAAAAGGGTAAAACCTCGCGATCCTCAGGAGTCCGTAAGTCACAGACCATTTACAAGATCAGTTAGTCGTTTGTCTTTTATTCATGATGCAAAAGTTACAAGGTATATGGCCGACCTAAATGTTGACCCATTATCGCCTGGCTATCAAACAAACCTAGCAAACCTCCCATATTGCAGAATGCAGTCCTACGAGGTTACTTACCGCAGAGACACCTAAGACAGCACTGGGATTTCTCAGAGCAGTGGGCGATGGCCCAGGCTAAATGCAGAGCTGCGTCTCGCTCCTCTGGGCTTTAAGGGCTGTGTGCGTCTGCTACGCCATGATTCAGCAAACCATGGCCCTCACGGCCTGGTATGCGCCGGCAGTTCTCTGGTACTTGGTTCCTTGTCGGTATACAGGTCGTGCAATGGTCGCCCAGTGACCTGTGTCACCCTTCTCTTCCTGACCCTGGTCAAGTGTTTGTGGTGGACCAGGGGTGCGATGGTACGCCTAGGTGCGGGTCTGGTTGTGCCAATCGCCTGCATCCTCTCCCGCTTTCGGTCTTCTTGACTACGTCTTGACACCGAGCTCAGGCGGGTAAGGAAGAGAGGTTACGGTAGATGCTGCGCAAGTCTACTATCACTACAAACTAATTCATGCACAAGTCACTGTGTCTGCTCTCACCTTGCCGTGGAGCACGCGGTGAACATCGTCGGCAACGACGGTCGAACTGCCGAGCCTCCAAAACTGGCTACGCCGTGTTTGCCTTTAATATAAACTATATCCGTACGGGCGTGTGACATGCGTTAGACGGAGGCTTGATGTGACATCGGCCACTGCGTCCTTTTTCATCTCCACTCGCCGGACTTAAACTGACCAACAGCCCAAGATGCCAATGGGGAGAGATGGTGAGTAGAACCCTGTGCTAAATCTTTCCACGACCATCCAGTGCTTGTTTTCCTCGTCTGAGGTACTGTTAAACTAGCACAAGCTGAAAGTCGTGACTTGGATGTTGGCAGATACGCAGTTCTTACCCGGAAAGGGTGTCAGGCTGCAGTAGCCTCCCCCTCCCCTCCCCCCTGGTCCTTTTCACTTAAGTGAGATGTGGCACGTTGAAGTCGGGTTCATGGAAGCACAGAAGCCAGTACGTGCGTTGCACACCCAGAAGGAAAAGAAGGCCTGTCCAGAGGCTGTGCCTAATCTCGTCTCCGTGTTTTGCCATTGAAACACGGTCTGTTTGGAAAGAATGATTGAGATAGCTGCTGTGGGACTTTCCTCCGTCCGCAAGTCACCGTTGCTTCCTTATTTGGAAGTGGCTCTCGTTGATCTCGGTGAACGAGCTACCGGACGCTAATATAGCAGATAACGTCTGTTATACAGAGCCAAGCAGCAAACTCCCGATTTCACACGTTTTGTTCGACTTTGATAGATACATTTAACAATCGCAAAGAGCCAATCTGTCACTATCCATCTCCCACTCACCTAACTGTCCGAGGCAATATCCAAAATGCTTGAACGAAAGATGTGTGGGGAATCAACCAGGAAATTCCACAAACGCACAGACGCTTGGATTCGGTGTGTGTTTTAATATTTATCTCCAAGGGGCGAGTTAAACTGTTTAACGTGGACAAATGACTTCATGAACGGGTTGAAATATTTGGTTTTGGTAGCCATTCGAGAGTTGATCGCATCAAACAGAATTGGTCTTTTGTCAAAATAAAAGTGAGTTCATGATGACTGACAGCATTAAGCCCCCCATGCAGCACATGGAAATCGTTCTCAGGAAGTTATCGCATCACCCTTCACCAGTAACTAATCTCGCAGGAGAAGACTGGCTAAGGAGTACTACTGGCATTTCAGTTTGCGAAGTATGGAAAAAGTGTCTTCTTATCCGTCGACTTGTTTAAAGTGTGGACTGTGGTAAGACACAAACACTGAGGAATTGTGTGTGCTTGGATAGGCTCTTAATCCCTACTTCGGAACTGAGGTTTCGTTAAAGCTTCTACTGACTAACTTTGCACTCATAGACTTAATGTTCAAACACATCGTTCGAGACCTACTGGTTTCAGTACGTATAACTCGCTCATGAGGTAAAAATAAAGTATACAATCAGAGAAACGCTGTTTCTACGAAGTGCAACTGGCGGTAATCAGACCTCGAGTAGCAAGTGACACAGCGTGCATGCAAGACAAACGACGCATGGTTGTGACTTTAGTGGATAAATATCACCTTCGTGGAGTGAGCTGACGGGGTAGACACTTGACTACTGCTTTCAGAAAGCATAAACTAGTGAGGAAATTTTGTACAATAACTTTGTTCGTGACGAATGCCAATACCCTTCCTGTAGGTAATGGTATCCTCGCCGTGAAAACACTTTTTCCTGCCAATCGGACACGAGTGTAGTCACCAAAAATAACCTTCAGCACCAACTACGTCTGGCGTCCTCACCTTCGCCGCCGCGCTCACCATCACCGCCGTTTTGATGATCTTTGCTGTCGTCGTTGTCGTTGATATCATCATCATCATCATCATCATCATCATCATCATCATCATCATCATCATCATCATCATCATCATCATCATCATCATCATCATCATCATCATCATCATCATCATCATCATCATCATCATCATCATCATCATCATCATCATCATCATCATCATCATCATCACCACCATCATCATCATCATCATCACCACCACCACCATCATCATCATCATCATCAACAACAACAACAACAACAACAACAACAATAACAAGAACAATAGCAGTAACAACAACAGCAGCAGCTAGAGCAGAACCATCACTGGAGCCCTGGCTCAAGAATATTTCCAAATCGCTAGTTTCAGGGTCCATTAAATGAGACACGATATCATCTTTTCAACTCTCCATATATGCGTGAAACATAATCAGGCGGAGTTTGTGGGAAGCTGTCCCTGTGGCTTTATGGTACGTGTCCCGGGAGAAGCAGCAAAGTGCGCAAATTACAGCATACAACTGCCACTAAAGTGGATTTGTATTACCGAATTTTGACTATCGAGCCAGTAAATCTTGAAGATAATAGTGATAGCAAATTGTATTCAGTACAAGATCACATTTTATAGGCTAATTAAGATGAAAAATAGTGGATCCACAGAGGCAGAATTATCAGTTTTCTCGGAAAATAATTTCACTTGAACAATACATTTTACGTAAATGTAAAAGCATGTTTTTAAGTATAACTGAAGTTAGCAGCATTTTTGTGTTCTGTGTAAAAATGTGCAAAAGTGCATCGTTACTAGTTCAACAGCCGACCTCTTTAAGAAAACGGGTCGTCGTGCTTTCCTGTCCTGTCATCTAAGGCATCAGTGTTATTGTTGGGTGACCGCGCGGACTAGATTTTAGTAGGCATCCTCAAACTTATTGGGACTGCTCAATGAGCAATTGATTAGCAGAGTACGTTGCATAGACGCTATCATTTACACCAAGCGTAGCGAACTTCTGCCATCTCATGAGAACTGTTGTTTCATTTTAGAGTGGCCAGAATGCAGATATCACTTCTCGAAAACCCAATTACCATAATTACTCTGCTTGTAGTCGAGAAAGGCACAAATGTTTTTCATCAAGTAGTCCAGCCTCCCTGGAACACGTAAGTCGCCGGGTAGGATCTTTTGGTGTGGCGTTAGAAACCTTTTGTACGTCTGTGCTGTGCCCCTGGCAAGACGGGTGTGCGGATGGTGCAAACTGCCGGACGGATGGGCCCACATGAAAGCACTTTTCCGTTGACGTTGAAGTTCTACAATATCACTGAATCACCAGCTGTGAGTTAAAATAGTGTACTTGACTGAGCCCTTACCAGACCAATCTTTTAACGAGGGCTTCCCACAGCTCACTCTCCAATCTGGGTGGAAAACACTAACCGCTTTTGTGAGAAAAGTGTACTCTCAAACTTTTGGGCAGCTACGCCTTCTACGCACTGTGCATTTGGCAGGCTCAATAGATACACCCGACTTGCCACCTTTTGTTCTGCACAACGGGTTCTATGGGCCTGATACCACCATTAAGGCAGTAACATTGTCCAGTAGGAGAAGGGCTGACATTCACATCGCGCTGATGAGTCCACATCGAATTCAAGAAAATTTGACCATTTCACCACTAACCTGTACTGCGCATGAGTGGGTTTACAGATGGTATCCTTAAAACAGGACCCCTGTACAGCCCTAGCTTCCATATGATAGGCAAAAACAACAATCAGTTAAGTAGACAACAGGAGCACGCAGAAATCTGGTATGTAGTGATTACCAATAATCTCTTCTTAAAAACCACACTACGTTGGACCACTCACATTGAAAGCTACCAAATTATGCTCTTCTTGTTTATTTTTTCCCGGATCATGAGAGCAAGTTGACACATCAGATACTTCTTACAAGGCAAGTCCGGATCAAATTATGCACTGACTTCGTAAAAATGTAGAGTGGAATTCATCATCGAGATATGTTACTGTCATGGAGAGGCAGTCTTATTTGCTGTTATCAACCGACTGTAGTCCAGGTCCGGACGGGGAAAACCCATCGACCGAACCCAGACACCTTGGTCACGGCCCATCCGGTCAAACGTTCAACCATTAAGTGTCGATGTTCATGGAAACTTGAACCTTTTGTCCCATGCGCCCTTCACAAATTGCCTCCGGCGTCCTGCCTTAGAATTCTATCGCGATGTCGTGGGCAGGTCGGTCCGCGTGGTCAGTACGGTGTGTACATTTGGGGTGACTGGCTGGAGGACTGGGAGTCAGACTGAGTGGCTTCTCGTGAAACTCTCATGAACGTGAGATCCGGACCCCCCATTCTGTGGAAATCTGGTGTAGTGCGCGGCAGGTGAGGCCGTGTGTGATACGCGTAGACGGACTGTTTAGCATTGTCGACCACTGCGCCCAAGCCCGCCCTCCCGTCTTGCGATCGGAGCCTGGCTGGTGAGGGAAGAGAGAGAGAGTGCGGTAGGTGCTTCGTAAGTCACTGATGATGCGCCCACTGTCTGGGGGTAAGCGGTGAACGTCGTCGCTCCCGACGGTCGTACTCTCGCCACTATTTCCTGCGGATAAGCGCCGCAGATCGTCACTTATTGTTTCATATGAGCAACTTTTTGCGCTGCACGCACTATATGCATGACGATTAAATTCCGCATCGCATTGCTGGGAACAATTATTGGGCTACTGGTAGTAAATAGTTTATTGCAGCAATTGCTTGTTGAGCGTCCAGAGTACTGGAATTTGTAGTCTGCCTTGTTGTATTTTTCACTTGGTCTAGATCGGTCTAGGACCTTCCCAGTAAGTAGTCTATTTGTGGCTATGTGCAGTCTTTCTTTCATATTCCGAGCCGCTTAACAGGCCTAAGAAAATTAGGTTCTAGTTCTGAAAAGAGTTTGTGCGTACGCAAGTCAGAATAGCAGGAGAAGTTAATGTGCGTCACATTTATCTAGCCGCCTAACTTGCGTTCTTATGCTTCCTCAAATTGAATTTATTCTCTGTCGACACAGTAAATGAGACCGGTAGACCGTAACTGCTGAAAATGCATAAATCACTCCGGTGTTTTTTCATGATAATTAAAGCGTAGGTGAGGGAGGCCATGGTAAATGAAGAAGTGGCACCCAACAAAGGCTTACTGCCTTACAAGTGTTTTGCTTGCCGAAGTATCTGACTACGACAGCTGTCTATTATTTTTATCTGGCGAGTTTGATCGCTCCAAATTCCTGAAAGAGCAGTCGGAAATGGGAACTCTTTCCGGGGTAATCTGGGCGTTTGCGTCAACTGAGCCGAGAAACGAGGATTGGGCATCATATAAAAGACTCATTCTTTAACGAGACCTTATAATTATATCGCAGCGACTCATTTAACAAACTCCGGGACAAAAGCGTAAAGGACAGCCTGCTATCTGCCTGTTTTATGTCCCTCACAGACTGATGAAAACGACGTTAATTTCACTTACGACTTACTATAGTGAGTATTTCCAACACACCTAGCCTTCAGCCATAGGTAAATATAAAAGTAAATTGTCACGACGAGTAGTCCGTCACTTACTTTTATAAAAACTTTTTCAAGCTGTCATGTTCATTAAGAACGTATTGATGTAAAAAATTTCCTTACTAATTCAGTCGCCTGATCTTTGAAAGGAACAGTCTGTGGGCATTACAAATAAATTCGGCTTCAGAAAATGCGACAGTACAGGCGAACCTGTTCAAAGGACTGCTGTGTATATCCCCTCGATTATACAGTTAGCATTCCGTTAAAACGTGAGCCTACCAACCATTTCATCGTGGTAATGAAGTACATATGCTTTCTTTTCAAAAATGACCAGAGATTTGTTTAAACCACCTAGAGATAGGGCGTATTTACATTTAGCGTGTTCAGCACGCAGAAAGACAAAATCCCTCACTTGAAATGTTCGTGTCAAGGCAACAAGGAGGTTATGACTAGTGAGGTCGGTTGGTTCCAAAAGGCGGTATGAAATGAAGGTCGTTTAGAAATGGTTTTTGCGCTTTTTCAGTCACTACCGGGGCAACTGTGGCCGGAAGCCTGTGAAAAGTAGACTTTTCCTCAGAATCAGGAAGGGATCTCACCCCACACCCCTACCGCCCCCCCCCCCAAGGGACGGGTCAGCCTGAGGAAGAACAAAGATGGCTACTGTCTACACAGAAGGGGGAGGGAGACTTGGGGCAGTGCCAGTAAAACCGCTTTGTCCCTATGGGGCCTCATTCAGTTGAAAACAGGAAAAATGGTACATGAAACAAACAACCCAACAAGTCCGGTAAAGGACTTTACTCGAAAACGCCGGGAGTCTTCAGGAAGGTGTTATCTAGAGTCGCCTCCATGAGCGGCAAGACAAATGTACAGTCCCTTTACAATGAAATACAATGCATCTCCAGGAAGTACCGTTCAAATGTGTTTTCAAATATAGTGGCCTCGGAGAATGTGCAGTCTGGAAGAACAATCTCGACAGTAGGAAACGAAATTTCTAATCAGTGTACAGCAGACTGACCGTGATCTAGTTTGACTGCCTAGACCAGAAGTAAGACCGATACCAATCTTACAGCATGAAAAAGAGTCCATAGATATTCCTCTCAGAGTGCTTATTAACAGGCAACGGAATTTTTAGTCCGCAGGCTATATGGTAGGTGTCGCTTCGTCACTCGGTATGCCATAAATGAAATTGGAACACTTCAAGAGGAGACGTCCAACCACAGTAGAACAAACTGGTGTTTTTCTTATCCTCTGCAGAAAGTAACGCTTACTTGCTGAGTGTTAATCACATACTTAAACGAGTTAACTCCCCTTGCTTTCGTGTAAACAGTGTCTATAAAACAACCTGAAGAAATCGCAAGCGTATGAAAGGCACTAGACTTTGCATACAGACGTTAGGCATGAATACGTCCAGCTAACACGTCTTGTTGGGTGCCTCTACTGCCAAGGCGTTTTTTGTAACAATTAATTTGTCAACTTAAAGAGTTCTTTGTTCACTCAAGAAGTTTTTCTTGCGAGCATCTATTTTCACTACGTTTTTCGAGAATTGTCCGTGATGGCAAATTTTGAAACTAAGTCGGTTTCAGAACCTTCGAGCTGAATCGAATTATTTAAAGCACGCTCTGGCGATATCCCTTTAACAGCTTTTTCCGACTGTATGATGTAGAATAAACTAAACGGAAAAATGGCCTTATAACCCTCACTGTTTATAGCAAATACGACACAGCAGAAAATTACGAAGAACGTCCTGCCTTTTTTTGAAATCCAACGCATCCACTTAGCCTTCGTCCACTACTTCATTCACTCCAACAGATCGTCACTCCTGTTTTGAGCGGTGGACTATAAAAATTACATTGTTGAAGTCCGTTATTGTCTGGAACAACTGCTTACAACTTGAGCTCAATCAGCCGCGGTTGTCCGCCCTGCACATTTTATTTTATAAGTTGTCCGTAATAGGTCAAGATAGGCTAGGAAAATTAATCGTCCTCGAGATATCTATCACCATGGAAGGACAACCGTAAAATTTAACTGACGTCCCCATTGGTTTATCGTCATGCCCCTTTTCAAATGATAGAGGAACGAAGAAACTGTTAATTCCCCAGAGTTAACACAATATTACGCTCAAAAGGTGTCTACGTATTAAGCATACCAAGATAATACTCACATCATCAAAGTCGGGCGCCTCCGGGGATTCGTAGGAGTTGGAATTTTGGAGAGATGGCGTAGTGCATTCCGGAGAAAAGCAGGTGGGAGTAGGGAATGCGGTTGGGGATTTGAAGGACTCAGCAAAGTTGGGCACTTGGAAAGGATCAAAGTCGTAGCAGGAACTATCCGCGTGTTCAGACATCCCAGGATAGTCAACGGAAGGCCTTGGAGTAGAGCTACTACTACTTTGCTTCCCTCCCGGTGAGGAAGACAAGTCATTACGCCTTTTTGTCTTTACTTCGGGACCCTTGTCCGGGCTGGGGAAGGCGCGTTTCAGCGATGCGCTTGGCGAGCGCTTAGTGTTGCCAGTGTCGTCGCCATCGCCGTGGATCGGCTGTACAGCGCCATCTGAATGACCGGAAGGAGACCGGCTCACAACACCATCTACTGAGTTGAAAGACAAAGGGTAGGAAGGAATTTTGTTTCTCTCGTCTGTTGCGTTTGAGTCCGTTCCGCTGGACAGGGTCTCGAAGCACTCCAATCTACCCATCTGTGAGTCCTCGTCAACATCGCCGTTGCCGCCACAAGTTTGTGTTTGCTTAAAGACGTCCGTAGACATGTTGAGCGTGGCTCTTTGGCCTCCGTTTTGTTAGTTAGTAGAGTGTAATTGCATCCATGAGCAGGTGG